AGCAGCAGGCCACTGCTCAAGTACATGTCTCATCTTTGCCGCCGTGCAAAGCCGGCTGACGCAGCAAGTGGCTCAGTATTCCTGATCATCAACCACCTCCGCAACGGAGGCGTCGGTTCTGCTATCTAACATGATTGCCATCATCACCACTGCGAAAACATATGGCAACTCCAAAGCCCTCTGGCAAGAATTCGGCTTGACATTCTAATCCAAGCCAATCACTCTGCAAAGTCAGAAGCATCAGAGTCGATCAGGCCAGCGAAGAAAGCAATAGAACAAGGAGAAAAAGGGCCATGCAATACAATGCTGGCGGAAAGAACTGTCATGAAACCAGGTCGAGAAGCTACCCGGTCTACCTGCCTGCACCTTTAAAGCAGCAGGCCACTGCTCAAGTACATGTCTCATCTTTGCCGCCGTGCAAAGCCGGCTGACGCAGCAAGTGGCTCAGTATTCCTGATCATCAACCACCTCCGTAACGGAGACGTCGGTTCTACTATCTAACATGATTGCCATCATCACCACTGCGAAAACATATGGCAACTCCAAAGCACTCTGCCAATGCGATCTGCCAAGCCTTGAGATTCTAATCCAAGCAAATCACTCTGCAAAGTCAGAAGCATCAGAGTCGATCAGGCCAGCGAAAAAAAGCAATAGAACAAGGAGAAAAAGGGCCATGCAATACAATGCTGGCGGAAAGAACTGTCATGAAACCAGGTCGAGAAGCTACCCGGTCTACCTGCCTGCACCTTCAAAGCAGCAGCGCCACTGGCTCAAGTACATGTCTCTTCTTTGCCGCCGTGCAAAGCAGGCTGACGCTAGCAAGTGGCTCAGTATTCCTGATCATCAACCACCTCCTCAACGGAGGCGTCGGTTCTACTATCTAACATGATTGCCATCATCACCACTGCGAAAAACATATGGCAACTCCAAAGCACTCTGACAATGCGATCGACCAAGCCAATCACTCTGCAAAAACAGAAGCATCAGGGTTGATCGGGCCAGCGAAGAAAGCAATAGAACAAGGAGAAAAAGGGCCATGCAATACCATGCTGGCTGAAAGAACTATCATGAAACTCGGCCGAGAAGCTACCCGGCCTACCTGCCTGCACCTTCAAAGCAGCAGGCCACTGCTCAAGTACATGTCTCATCTTTGCGGTCGTGCAAAGTCAGGCGTCGCAGCAAGTGGCTCAGTATTCCTGATCATCAACCACCTCCTCAACGGAGGCATCGGTTCTACTATCTAACATGATTGCCATCATCACCACTGCGAAAACATATGGCAACTCCAAAGCCCTCTGGCAAGAATTCGGCTTGACATTCTAATCCAAGCCAATCACTCTGCAAAGTCAGAAGCATCAGAGTCGATCAGGCCAGCGAAGAAAGCAATAGAACAAGGAGAAAAAGGGCCATGCAATACAATGCTGGCGGAAAGAACTGTCATGAAACCAGGTCGAGAAGCTACCCGGTCTACCTGCCTGGGCACCTATAAAGCAGCAGGCCATATGCTTAAAGTACATGTCTCATCTTTGCCGCCGTGCAAAGCCGGCTGACCGCTAGCAAGTGGCTCAGTATTCCTGATCATCAACCACCTCCTCAACGGAGGCGTCGGTTCTACTATCTAACATGATTGCCATCATCACCACTGCGAAAAACATATGGCAACTCCAAAGCACTCTGACAATGCGATCGACCAAGCCAATCACTCTGCAAAAACAGAAGCATCAGGGTTGATCGGGCCAGCGAAGAAAGCAATAGAACAAGGAGAAAAAGGGCCATGCAATACCATGCTGGCTGAAAGAACTATCATGAAACTCGGCCGAGAAGCTACCCGGCCTACCTGCCTGCACCTTCAAAGCAGCAGGCCACTGCTCAAGTACATGTCTCATCTTTGCGGTCGTGCAAAGTCAGGCGTCGCAGCAAGTGGCTCAGTATTCCTGATCATCAACCACCTCCTCAACGGAGGCATCGGTTCTACTATCTAACATGATTGCCATCATCGCCACTGCGACTCCAAGGTAGAGTCTCGCCAGATCGATCACGACGGTGCTTGGAGCCAAAGCTGTATGGAAATCTCCAGTTTCGTAGATGGCCCCAAGGGAAAGATAGAGGACTCTTTGAACAGCCTACATACAAAACAAAATCCCGCGCGGTGCCCCACGCACGGCCACGCACTGCGGGTTGGCTGGGAATTGATTCCCTCGGCCTATTTGGAAATGCATGTCACTGGGGACCTCTGAGTGGCACAAACTTTCGGGAAATGATTCCGGTCGCCACGGAGAGGTGGCATGTTCCGAATCCGACGGCCTGTGGGCTGAAGGTCGAAAGCTTGCGGCTTCATGTCCTCATGACTCACCCACGAGAAGGCCAAAGATTCGCCAGCAAAGGGAAACATCCCTCAGTCTCTCCACTGATGTGACTGCTGCTACTTCTTGGCATGTGGGCCTCTGGACATTGGATGCAACAAAAGCTAGGAAACGCTAAGAATATAACATGAGCTCTCATCAAACGCCACAAACTCGCACACCAACACACACAGTCACAAGCACAGACACAAAGACATACACTGACACAAAGACATACTCTGACACACACACACACAACACACACAAACACACACAAACACAAACACAAAAACAAACACAGCCACAAAGACATACCGTGACACACACACACACACAACACACACACACACAACACCACACCACACCACACCACACAACACAACAAAACGCAGCACAACACACAACACAACACACACACACAACACACACACACACAACGCACACACACTCACACACACAACACAAACACGCACACAACACACGCACACACAACACACACACACACAACACACAACACACACACAAGACACACACGCACACACAAACTCACACGAACACCAACACGCACTCGCACGCGCACGCGCGCGCGGTGCAAATTTGCCAATCCGTTCAAGCACCTGCATTCAGATTATGCTGCGTGTATTCGGCTGCTTCTTGCCATTCAAATGATCTAGAACGATGTTGGTCACTTGTGGTGCTTCCCTCAGTCCTTGCTGAGCAGGATGGCAAAGTTCACCTCCGTCCCAGGTGGGAACGTGCCGACCTGGGACGAAGCCAACGGAAATTTCAGCACTCAAGAGTGACGAGCCTCATCCTTGCAAGTTGCAACTAGGATGGTTCTGTGTAGAAGTCCGCTTGGAATTCATTGAATGCTTCCTTCGCAGCGTATTGTGTCGTGCCAATTCTGACAGAGCAGCACACAAGAATTTGTGGATGCGAGTTGGGCAGGTGCAAAAGATGATTCCGGGCAAGCCAGAACCAACGGTGCACATTCCCCACACAACTCGTTGGCAACATGTTGCCATGTCCAGGAATGTGCCTGCTTGGCATGTCCAGACTTGCCGTGAACCATGGGGCCATACTGTAGATAGATGACAAGCCGTTACTGCAAACAGGCTCAACCACGAGGGCTGTCTCAAGCTGACAAAGCAACACCATCTGCCAAGGAAGCTCGCAAAGCAAACAAGGACCTGTGTTCAAGCCTTGACCAAATAAGTCCAAGTACATGGACTTAAACTTGCTTGATTTATTGACTGTTTGGATTGTTTGCTTGTTTGCTTGCTTGTTTCTTTGCTGGCTTGCTGGCTTGCTGGCCTGCCTACCTGCCTGCCTGCCTGCCTGCCTGCCTGCCTGCTTGCTTGCTTGCTTGCTTGCTTGCTTGTCTTGCCTGCTGGCTTGCTTGTTAGTTAGTTTGTTTGTTTGTTTGTGCTGTTCTTTTTATGTGTGTTGGTGTTTTGATTGTTTGGTGTTTTTTTTGTTGTGTGTGTGTGTTTGTTTATGTGCTTGTTTGTGTGTTTTTTGTGTGCATTTGTTGCTTCTCCGCTGATGGCTTGCCTTGTTGGACAAAACACGGCCTCAGGGCCATTTCTTGGGGCTTGCTTGGGACTGAGGGCACACTCTTCCCGATGCTGCGAGGACGTGGCCCAATAGAACAAAACGAAAACAAGAGCAAGCAAGCAAACACGCAAACAAAGAAACAAACAAACAAACAAGCCAGCAAGCAAGCAGCCAGGCAAGCAAACAAACAAGCCAGCCAACGTGCCAGCATTCTGGCGAGAAAAAAAAAAAAAACAAGCAATGAAACAAGCGTGGCAACTAATGGCAACTGCCACTTTCTCAAACATTCCTGTAACATCTCTCTGCCGATTGGAGCTCCCCTTCATGCCTGGTTCTTGTGCACGTACACGTCGTTGCCAAAAACTGCCTAGCGCTATGTGAGTGGAACAGCACCCAGGCATTGAAACAAGCAACCTCATTTAAGCATGACATGGCAAATATCTCATCTAGCCACTATCTCATCTAGCCTTACTACCAGCTCTGTTGTAGATGCAGGCATAGTCCCGAAGAATCAAAACCTGTCCCTCAAACACAAAGAAGCAAGGGAGACTAAACATGAACATGGCATGGCTTGCCTCTTTCAAAAGGTCAGATCGCACCAAACCTCATTCGCCTCAGGCCGCGGTCAAACCCTTCGGCTCAGGCCTTCAGCTCGGGGCAATCGATGAAGCCCAGGCCAGTGGCCGGGACTTGCATGATCCTGCCCGTCCTTGGCACTTCACAAGTCATGGTGCGGATCATGTGATCATCCCCCCGCCAAACCTCCCCGGTGGTGGTTTTGGATAACTGAACTTCTGACCGCGCGAAGGATTACCACAGATACCAATAGGCTTGCCCTGCTCTCCCTGGTTCAACTTTGGCCAGCTCCTGCAGACCTGGCAACGATAAGGATACAGAGTTCCCAGAAGCAACACAGTTTTTGCATATTGTTCCCCTTCAAACCTATCCTGGCTGCGAGGATCCTGGCTGCGAGGGGAGGAATGGGACAGGAACAAGGGACAAGGGCCGGAACGTTGCATGGAGAATGGAATTGCGGCCTATCCAACTTGCTCCTCAAAGGCATGCGTGTGGTGGCAGTCAACTAAACAGGCTTTAGCTTTCCTTGCTTTGGCGAAGCAACCTATTTGGCGGTGGCCGCTCTGGCGCGCGTCCCAAGGTCCCAGCGCTCGTCTCTTGATCAGCGAATCTGCTGGAGCGTAGGTCAGATCCTCGGGCAGAGGCAAGAAAGCCCAACCCGGAGTCAGAGGTCACGAACAAAAAGACAAGCTCAGTCCTTTCCTTATCTTTGTCTCGCCATCAGAATTCTTTTGTAGGAGCTCTTGGGATTCAAGAACCTGTTATCCTTGGCGAGCCACAAATCAAGGGTTAACCGATGGTGGCGAGGGATGGACAGGTGATTTCCTTCGTTCCCGCTCCCTTTAGTCGCTCTCACCTGTCATTCTTTATCCACATCCCTCTACAAATTACTTTAGCATGTGGATGTGGCCAAATAATTATGGTAAAATGCTTTTATGGAATTATGGCTGACGAGTGACGGTAGGAAAGGAGGAAGGTGGATCCAAGGGAAAGAGAACCACCTCCCCATCCGTTCCATGCCTTCGTCACCTCACTCAAGACTCATCAGAGCGGTGAGGAATGAGCCAGCGGATGGTGAGCGGGAAGGAGAAAATAGAATGGGATGACTTCTTCCTTGTCATCTCATTCCCTTTCTCTTTAACCGTTCATTCTTCACTCAACCTTCATTCTACCTCCATTTTCAGGGATTTTGAGGAGGTAGAAGTGAGTGAGTAATCCTAGCGGCGCTCCTGGGCATGCTGCGGACCATCCACTGCCAGTCCGGGGCGAGCTCATTTCACCATGTTAAATGAAAGAGGCAAGGTCATGGCAACCGCGCACGATGATAAGCCGCTGGCCGTCTAGATTCTAGATGCGGGTTATTGCGGGTGCGTCTGTTTTGAGACCCCGACAATGCCGGTTGTCCTTTTGGCTTTCCGTTTAAAGCCGCCCCATTTGGGGGGGGGGTTGCCCTGAAGGACATACCCACGCGTTTCCAGTCATCACCGTCAATGCCCAGAAAACGATTTTCTCTCATGGATGGTTCTGAGGAACCTGCCGGCACTGCTCCATTGACAACGCCAGGAGCTAGCTCGGGTCTTCTTTGGAGTGTTTCGGTGATGACCTCGGATCGCTGCGCAAAGGCTCAGCTGAGCTATGGCTGGTCAAAAGGTCTGCTTTGAGCAACTGAGAACTACATTGAAACTTTCTATGCAACAATAGAATTGGAAGAGACGTATGCCACTTCCTGTAGATGCGACAGGGGTGCATAAACCATGTGTTAGAATGTGTTAGACAGTCTGCCATGGCAAATCACAGCGTACACCAACAGCTCAAGTGGGCAAAGCAGGTACGACTATAGCTCGCCCTTTGAAACTGTTTGATCTCAGAACACATGTGCTGAGCAAGAAAATGAATTGGGCAAGCGTGAACCTGGTTTCCAACGTTCAACATGGAAGTACAAAAATCTAGAAGACTGTCTTCTTGGGAAGAGCCGAAAACAGAGTTGCCACAGCTCTGTGTCAAGCAACTTTGATTCATTTGTGGCTGCGTGCCAACCAAATGGGGCTTTCTTTCAGTGGACCTTTTTCCCAACGCTGTGCGACCCCTATCACGGCAAGGACCAAACATGACTAAGGCCGCCCACACGGGGGGGCCTGAGCTAGTCCTGGGGCCCACGCTGTGATCAGCGAGGTGTCATCGAGGGCAGCCAAGGCTTGTAGCAGGGCCCTCGATCCGGGGGCAAAAGCAAATACCCGACCATGATCCACTCGCTTGAATAGACTTGACCTTGCTTCATTAAAATGCAAATCGCGCATGGAAGAGCACCATGAAGATCACAACTGTTCAGCCCAAAGGGACCCCGCCTGCTACCGTGAGTGAATGATACCAGACAGGCGCTTGGAAGCAATGCCGATGGAAGCCTTTGCGAAGCGTACGAGCCATGTGTCTTTCAGTTTCGCCAGCACACCACCGGCAAAAGCCCGCCCCATCTGTCCACTGGGGCAGCCCGCTGAGGGTCCATGGCAACCTGCCGATGGCTGGGATCCCCAGCCGAATGGCTCAATGAAACTCCCAGGAACCTGAACTTGAGCAAAGGGACCTTCACCCATGAGTGTTCATGGGTCTGGAGCATTTGTCTGGAGACATGGGAGTTGTGTGCTGATATGTGCTGATGTTTAGAAGCACTAAGCTGCTCAAAAAATGGCTGGCCCCGTTGGGATGCAGTGTGGCAGAGACCAAGTTCTTGCCCGTGTACATCAGCACTCTTGGTCTCCCAAGCGCTCAACAGCCCAGCAAACAGCACAGCATCGTCAAGAAGTTGAATACCGTATGCGACGTAGAAAACGTCAATGCGAGCAAATTCAGCAGCAAATAAATAACGATGCTCCTTAGCTTTGTACCTTGCCCGGTGTGTTATAGATCTTGCTGATACCCTTCTTCGCATGTCTGCGTTCATGGTGCTTTCATTCTCATGGTACTTTTATGGGCAAGTGCAGGTGCCACAATTCAACGCCCCAATGGACTGTGCATCGATTTCTCAAGTTGGGCGTCAGAAAGCAGATTCCGCATGGGAAGCGATTTAGAAAGACAACCTTGCTGCCAAAAGGGGCAAGTGCCTCAGGAACTGCAATGCTTCAAGATGCTGAGACCGAACACAAGAGTGATACCTCTGATCCAAACATGTTGATGGTCTGCCAACTGGATGATCACTAACGATACTAAAGCGTCCATGTGTGTTGACTCAGATGATGCAATCTCGAGTCCCAACAACCAGTCGAGGATGGTTGAAGGAAGGCAAGCTCCTACTGCCACGAATCCTGCACCTTTCCCTCGGCCCCGGCCTTGAACAAAACGTATTCGATCACTCCCCTCTACGCGTCCGTCGCTACTAACATGGTCTCGAGTGAAGGCAGCCTCACTTACCTTCACCTTCAGCACATACGCAACACAAAAGCAATCAAAGTCACGAGAGACGTTCGCATGAACTCTTCAACTTTTTGTGGCAAGGGTTATCAGCTCCCGTTCCCATCTTTCATGTCGGATGACCTAGCACATAATCACCCAACTTGCAATGACCGCTGGCAATCGCGGACTGATCGACAAGGCACGGAAGCAAACATCATGTCCTTGGGTGCAATGATTGAGCTAATCTGTACTGATCAACCTGCAGTTGTGGTTCGAAAGTTTCCTCGCTGGGCATTTGAACAAGAGCGCCAGCAGCTCTCTTGTTTCGTGAAGGATGAAAAAAGTGTATCGTTCGGAATCTCTGTTACCTGCCCCTGAAGTGCGAAAACAATATCAAGTGCCCTGGCAAGAAACACAATGTGCTGTGCGCTGCTTGCGGACTCCTTGTGGACACGTGTGGATCTCCCGGTGCCCTTGCCGCGGTTCTCGGTCGGTTTTCTCTCTGCAAACCAGCGCGCCGTTGAGGTTCTGCAGCCTCATCCGGTTGGCCAAACAGTCCTGGACAGGGTGGCCTTTCTCGTTTCAGTGTGTCCAAAAACAGGCGACCCTTCTTGATGGGTTCTCAAAGGAAAACAAAGGCAAATCCTGCTGTGCGAGGAGGAGCACCTTTTTTTTGGACGCTCACATACTCTGCATACAAAGTACAGTAGTTGTGAAAGGGTTTGATCATCCATACCAGGGACAACACAGCCCCTCATGTGTCCCTTGGCTGGGAGGTCTACCTCTTAATGTAGGTGCTTCAGCCTGCTCCACGCAGGCGATGTTTCCGTGTTTAAACAATGCGTATCAAGTGGCCTTTCTTATTCCCTACCCTCTATCCGACAAACATGGAACCTGGCGTTCGGGGGGTCCTGGTTTGGACCCCCGAACGTTAGGTTCCATGATGTTCTATGTTAACCGGTGGAGGGGGGGGGGTATCTGCTGTTTGCAAGTGCACGTATCAACCGTTGGAAGTGCTTAACATGGCGCTGCGAATTTCCAGGGGAGCCCTATGAGCCATGGGCAACAGAAGTCTTGACGGGCGGATCCCAACATCCTTCAAAGCGACATCCTCAAATGTTTGTTTTTTATTATTATTATTATTTTTTTTTTTTTTTTGGGGGGGGGGGTGATCAAATGCCGCAGGTAGCTTCTCCAATTTCGTGGGAAATATCATCTGTTCAGTCTTAGTGGTTTTCCCATCAACGGTCATCCCATGTAAAGGACATTTTGATCAACCCCTTTAAACCCCGACCCTCAAGATGTGGCCATGGGTCAAAATCCCGTACCCCCAGTATCCCAATCCCAACTAAAATGGACTAAAATAGGTGGGGCACCTACCCCAAAATGGTACCATTGGTTTTGACCCACAGCCATGTTGTCGGACCCATGTCCGACCTCACAACGCCCGCCTGGAGCGGCAGCGCACTCTCCAGCTGCCGGCCATCCTCGCTGAGGCAGTGGCTGCAGGCCAGCACCGCCGGGGAGCCCTGGGACACCCGGCAGCCCTGGCAGCTCTGCTGGTACTCGCCGCCGGGCAGGTGCTCCGCATTCGGGACCTGCACAAAAAAAAAACAAGGCAGAACCATGAACAAAACAACCTGCACGTGGACAGGCCGTCGGCAATCGAACACTTCCTGGAAGTCCTCGAAGATCGTGCGAAGACAAGGAAAAACTGTCAAGCCCAGCAAAAGCCGCCCGAAAGCCCAACTCATCTTAGATACTCAAACTGCGGAAATGGGTAAATCACCCCCCCCATATGCTCCCAGGTGGAATTCCCATCCAAGGCCCCCGCCCCTAGGCACGTCAGCCTGCCCTCAACGTTGTGCAGCTCCGCTGGTGCCTTGCACCGGGAGACCTGATGACAGCGCGGTGGGAAGAAAGGCTACGCTGATCCGAGGCTAAAGGAAAGCTCGCGGTTCAGTGGCCTCAAAGATGCGGTTGAGCAACCTTTGTAGACAATCCTTTGAAGCTTGGAATGTGAATTTTAGTGGCTGTCCACAAAACAATTGTCTTCATCGAGTCTCAATGCTTGGGAAAACTTCCCAAGCTGCTGACATGCAAGGAATCAGACATCCAAGTAGTGGGCGGATTTGGTTGTGGCTGACATGCAAGGAATCAGAGAAATGAAGCAATACTTTCAAAGAGACCCCAATTCACACGTGCAACCCTGAGGCAACATGACGAAACCAACGTTTCAAAACGCAAGCTTTCAAAACAAAGGCATCCCCAAAAAGAATGGTGGCTTTCCCCAAAGCGAAAGGTACCCAGAAAAAATAAATCACAAACCCCAGTGAAGGAGGCCCAAACGGATTTCCCCAGTGAAGCCCGTGCCTGGTAAGAGGAGCGACGCTGCTGGCCGGAGGATTGAGAGCAACTGCAGCTGAGCTCATCCTTTTGCTGCCTGCACTCCCCACAGCTCCTGGCTATGGTTCTGGCAATGCCCTTGTGTCCACATTGAACCCACCAGAGGCTCCAAAGGAAAAATAAAAATCGTTCGAACCAGGACCCTTCAGTCTGGTTCCATGTTAGACAGGACGGCATACCATGGTAATCTCCCAGGTGAGTCGTGTATAAGGCAGGGCTTCCGTGTCGAGTACGAAGCGAGGGGTACAGCCGCAAATACTGTGGGAGGAAGAAAGTATTTCGCTGCTGTGGTGAACATGTCTTCGGACCTAGCGCGGCCGCTGTACAAACGTCATGTTGCTTGCGTGGTGAATCAAGAATCGGGTTGCTCAAACAAAGATTGAAATAAAGCAAAACAGTGAATGTGACCTGAGAGCCTCTAAGGCAAAGGGTTGAGCCCAACGCGACTGTTGCCCGGGTGTTGCGGCATTTTGCAGGTGCTTGCACTACGTGCCAAACTGCGGCATTTTGAAGGGTGCGGCATGTCGTGCCTAACTTTAGGAGGATAAAACAAATCCGCACAGCTCTTATCTTCAGACATGGCGGGCCAATTTCCAGTTGTGTTATGTCAAAATTATGTTGAAGCAAATCAATGTGCAGAAAGTCGCGTCACTCAAGTCTTGAAGATGTCTAAGGAGAACGGGTGCGCCCAAAGCCCAAGAGGAAAAGCCTATGCCCTGGTGTTACATTCAGTTCTAAGCAGCATGTGACATAAGTACTGCATCTCACGCGCAGTCGGGAGAAATGGACTTCATAGCCATTTATAAAGCTTGGAACAAAGCACTGACAGCTGTTGGAACGCTCAGGCTGACCCAAGTCACAATGTTGCGGGAGCCAAATCTGCAAGCCCTTCTGCTCCCTGCACCAAGCAACATCAAGTTTGGGGAGGTTGTGCGCCGGACCTGTGACCCAGGACCCAGTGCGGCTAGAAATTCTACCAATACCCGTCTGTGCCATCAAACCCCTTCTCCGCATTCGTCTTTCATCACCCGGTGTGGCCAACAACATGGCATAGCTCAGTCAAACAAACGGAGAAGGCATGCCTCCGCTCCTTCTGTATGGCCCATCGAGGCCGCCTGCACACACCAGCGTCCCATCCTGGTGTGCGCAACGTTGGAAAGCCCTCAGGGTTTGGCCAGCCCCGTATTCAAACATGTACCGCCATCGTTCAAACCTCCTTGTGGATTTTCCTTCAAAGGGAACCGGTGGGGGGGGGGGGGGGAGGGGGTTTTGTTGTAACGGAAAAAAGACCCAAACCTGTCGACCCCAGAGAAAAGTCCGTGAGACCGTGAAGGTGCCATCTCTTGACTCCAAGGGAACAAAATTCCAAAGGTCCCTTCCTGGTTCTCGAGCTCTCCCTCGCAGGGTGGAGAAGAGGCTTCCACCTGGCGCCCGTCGGCCTTGGAGCAGAGAGCGCACACCACCAGCTCCGCAGACACCTGTCGGAAGGTCGATTCGTTGCCCCTCAGCTTCTGGGTTTGAATTGGTTGCCAGGCCATCCCAGTAGTTTCAGCGACTCCCCAAACCAGCAAGCAAGGCTTACCTTGAAGGATGGCAAAAAAGGGAACGGACAAAGACTAAAGATGAAGGGGCACGACGTACTCCAATGGCAAAAAGGCAGACTGTAGAGTTGTTTGTGTCATGCTCAGGCTCAGCAGAGCTGCAGCTGCAGCAAACGCTGCAGACTGTGTCTTGTTGTCAATTAAGCACATGGTTCAAGCGGGGTGCGGCTGAATTCCAGTGCTGCTCGAAGGCCCTCGCTAGGCCGCGCAAGGCATTCATGGCAAGGCGGTCGCGGGGCACTGCTGACACGCTTGAAACTCGCGGCATTCATGCTGAGGAGGGCATTAACTTAATCAATGCCACTGACGTCGTGCTTTAATTAGGATTGAACCCCCGCGCCCCCCTCCCCCCTCCCCCAGAGGGCGCCTTGCAGCCCTGACAGGATGCTAGGTACTTGCCCTCCGGCACCTCCGCCGAGTGGATCAAGCCCCGGCAGCTGAGCACCCCGTCCTGGCGCGAGCCATAGGCTTGGTCGGCAACCTGTCCCCCAACTGGAACTGGACTGGACGGTAAGCCCAAATGACACGCGCCCATGCAGGCAATGACCGAACCCCCCAACAAAGATGCTTTGAACTTGCGAGGGCTAAAGTCAAGCTGGCGAGTGGGGGGGTCAAAGACTACAGGTTGGAGCGAAATTCCTCACATGCCAGCATCAAGCAGGCCGCCGGCCAAAGGAGCCAATATCGTTCTCTCCAGGGCCAGTCATTGTCACGAGCCGAACGAAAAGCACTCAGACGGGTGACATGAAGCAGGCTTTGACATGTCTAACAACTTCAGCACTCCTACTGTGTGACTACCTGTCAGGTTCCACGCGTCAATGACTTTGTATACCACCCTCTCGAAAACCATCCCCTCGTGAAAACCATGGGGGGTCCTTCTTCAAGCCGGTCTCTGTTTTCACCACCTGGAGCCCCAAAGCACTGCTTTCTTTCTGTCCGGAGGCTTTGCCCGAAAAAGATGGTCATACGCCCAAATACGTTTTTTCTTCGCTTGTTTTTCAATACTCTATCGACAAAATACGGGTTTTATAGCCAAGCACCGGTCAACTCAGGCGAATGACCAAAAAAAAGCCACCTCACGGGTAACCACGGGCCCACTACGTCTTTTCACCGGAAACAAAAAAAAAGACAAAAGCAAAACTTGGTGCCGTTTCGGGGGCCCCATCCACCGGGTGTGTGGAACCGCCTGGTTCTCCAGCATCCCGGGCTCGGGGCAGCGCCGCAGCTCGAAGGCGCTGCGACGGTTGCGGCCCCCGGCGGTGGCGCAGTGGCTGCACCGCAGAACCCCCTCCGCGGAGCTGCAGCCGCGGCAGGACTGGCGGTACCCGCCTGAAACAAAAACCAACATACACCTGGTTGTGGACACGCCCGTTTTTTCATGGCTGCACTTTTCAACCAAGGACTATGCAAAAACTGGGGGAGGAGGGCGTTGCTGTGGAACCGTTACTGTAATTTCATGCGGTACATTCCATGAGAAAGCTCCAGCATGCATCAACAGACCTCAAGAACTTTTAACTCGGCAACCGTAGCCCAACACTCCCATCCCTAGCATCACCCCACCCGATTTCATGCTGGTCTGCCACAGTAAGCGGGCATGAGTTCATGGCACTTCCAATTTGCCGCCAGTTTAGTCCAGAATAGCCCGTTTAGTTGCTTGGGGCTGGAGCATGGGAAACTTTCCTCTGCACTAGGGATTTGGTTGGCTTGGGGCTTGGGGTTAGCTTGGGTTCATGCAAGAAACGGCCACAAGACGGCTATGCCGCGGGAGCTTGCCTCTGGCTGAAGCGACTTCAATGTGCTGCCCGAAAACTTGCTGCTTTAGGCAAACGATCCAACACACAGTTCTTGTGTGAAACAAAACTCATCTCTGTCTTCCACCTGTTGGAAGATCGTGCATTAGGCAAGTTTCGCAAATGATGACAAATACGTAAATTGAATCTTCCTACATCAAGAACAAAAACTGCCGTGTGTGTGTGTGTGTGTGCTGAGCAACAGGCTCTTCTCCAAGCAGACTCTTCAAGAGCCTCAGAGAGCTTGATAAGGTTTGGTCGAAGGCACAAGATAGGGCTAGCAGCTAGGGGTGCTCCAAAGAACGCTCTGAAAGCGACCCCGACTTACTGGATCCAGAAGGGAGACGCGTCCAGTCGACCGAATTTCTACCGTCGCCACGCCTTCCGGGATGTCTGGCTCATTGGGCTTGGGCTCGCACTCCAACCTCCCCTGGATGTTGTTGACCTCGCTGGCAAAGCAGTCGGCCCACGTTCGACTATGGCAGCTGCGTGACTGTTCTTGTTTCTCCTTATTTTGTTCTGTTTAACCTACAGGAACCAGCCCGCGCGTTGACAGTCTCCCATCTTCTGGCCCTTGATTTCAGGGGTCCCAGAACTTGGGTCCGCACGTGAAGCGGGCACTCATCCAGGTCAAGCCAGGAGGGCATGGAGGGCGAGCCCGGCAGCCGGCAATGGCTGCAGACCAGGCGCCCAGCCGAAGCGGGGCGAGGCTCCAGCGAGCAGCCGCGGCAGGAGTCTAGGTAACTTCCCTCCGGCAGGTTGGGCCCATTGGGCGCGGGCTTGCTGGCCTGCTGCCGCTGGCACCGCTCTTCGTAGGCCTGAAGTCGCACGACTCGAGATATGCTCAAAATGTGGTGGGAAAACCTGCAGACGGAGAAAACCGGTCAGTCCACCTCGGCTTTTGTTGGCAATTTTGTGAGTTCCCCATGTCCCCTTCCATATTCACAACAAATGACCGAAGTTGTTCTGAAGCTTCATAAATGTCACACTCACATTTGCCTGTTAGCGCACCATGTCCCCTACCTCAAGGCAGGTGGTGGGGGCTTCCTAATTCAATTTACATGTTCCCTACAATGAGAACAATATCTTCAATGGGGTTGGGCATAGCATACCCAACGCCGAAACTGCTGGCCTCCTGGTACTCCAAAGCCTCTTGGGCCGTGGTCTTGTTGTTGAACCTAAGCAGAGCGGATCTGGAGATTCTTGATGCTAGGGTTTAACCCCTTAAACAAGGGATGTTCACAAGGCGCGGGGAAAAGAAGAAAGGGTTGAGCTGGCCCCATTATTTTACCATGTTCAAAGTCGCCCCCGTGGTGGGGTACAGGGCAAACAAACCCCACTTCTGTCTTTTTGGTAACCCCCAGAAACAGTCAAAAGAATGACTTTTTTCATGGAATGCTGTGGATGGACGAAATCCTGCACCACTTGGAAACCATGACAAGCCAGTGATGGCTGGTATTTACGGGGAACCAACATTCCAGGGTTTCTTTGCTGGTGCGAAATGGATTTCGTCCATCCACCGTATCTCAGATGCCCAGTGGCCATGGGAAAAAAAGGGGCACTTTTTTGTTGTTGGTTGAGTTTCAAGGCACACCCTTCCCAAAAAAGAGGAGAAAACACACCAAAATACGGGGCACCACTGGGCAACTGGGGTAATTACGTCTCGGTCGCTGGGTCCCGGACAGCTCCAGGAGCTCCGGCGGGTACTGCCCCGGGCAGAACCAGCCGCCCGCGTCGCAGCGCCGATTCCGGGGATCCCCCGCCCAGGCGCGGGAGCCAGACGACACCTCCAGCACCCGCGCGATGCGCACCCGCCGGTTGGCGCTCACGTAGACCTCCTGGAAAAGACGAGAGAGGCAAAAAGCCAATGGGAAAAGCCAAGGGAATATGCGTTAAAATATGTTGCTTTATTTTTTTGTGGTTTTAAAGCAAGAGTGTACACACATATCAGCCAAGGAGAAAAACAACCAAACACATGATTCTGTGCGCATAGCGATGCACTCGCTTGTTTGCTCCGAGTTCTCCAGGCATTTCAAGACATGCAGAGTATTACTCTCGCCCGCGGTTGGGACGAATTCTTGGCCAACCGTTGAGATTGCTTTAAGCTACTCAAACTGCAAGCACCTGTATACACTGCCACCAGCTCTACTTGACAAGCCCTGTACACGAGAGCCAGGTGGTCAGCAAATCGCACGAGCCATTGGCCAAGTGCCTTTGAAAACTCGCTGGAGGTTTGGGATGTTGGGTCACATAGCTCCACTTTTTGAAAACACCGGAGCCAACCCTGATCTGTTCAAGAGTTGACAAAAGGTGAATCCCTGCGGGATTAACACAATGTGGCGACCCATGAGATTCAGACCTGCGCCTGCACTGCGGATACCAGCAGGTTTCTAGGTGCAAAACACTCAATCGATAGGGGCAACAATGCGACGCATTGGATCGCATTTACCGCATCACATGCCTCCCACATCAGAGCTCACTCTCGGAGGCTGGATTCTCCGGATCCGATTCTTCCAGCTCCTTCACATCCTGGCGGCCCGGGTAGAGGGCAGCCTGGAATTTGGCCCGGTCCAACTCCCCCTCCATGATGGCCACCACCACTGCAGCAATGGAGTTGCCGCAGATGTTGGTCAGCGCCCGGCACTCGGACATGAACTTGTCGATGCCCAGCACCATGGCCATGCCAGGGACCAGCTCTGGATGGATCACGCCCAAGGTGGCCGCCAAGGTGATGAAGCCGGCGCCCGTGACCCCGGCTGCACCCTTGGAGGTGAGCATCGCCACCACCAGGACCTTCAGCTTCTCCGCCAGGGTCAGCTGCACGCCCATGGCCTGGCTGATGAAGAGCGTGGTGAGCGTCATGTAGATGTTGGTGCCGTCCAGGTTGAAGGAGTAGCCCAGGGGTACCACCAGGCCGACCACGGGCTTGGAGATGCCCGCGGCCTCCAGCTTCTGCATCAGCGACGGAAGGGCGCTCTCAGAGGAGCTGGTGGCGAGCACCAGCAGCAGCTCCGACTTGATGTAGAAGAGGAACCGGAAGATGTTGAAGCGACAAACGAGGCACACCGTGCCCAGCACCACGAGGACGAAACAAATGGAGGTCACGTAATTCGTGGCCACCAGGCCCAGCAAGTTCTGCAGTGTGCTGATGCCGTACTTCCCCACCGTGAAGGCCATGGCGCCAAAGGCGCCGAACGGGGCAAAGCGCATGATAATGCCCACCACACCGAACATGGCGTGCGCAACTTGGTCCACCAGCTTGTGCAAAACCTCCACCTTGTCTCCCTGGCCAATCAAAGCGAAGCCAAAGAGCAGGGAGAAGAAGAGCACTTGCAGGATTTCGCCCTCAGAGAAGGCGCCCACCACAGTAGGAGGGATGATATTCGACACAAAGTCCAAGGTGGAATGACCCTCGCCTTCCTTCCTATACCTCTCAGCCACAGCTGGGTCGATCTGCCCATTCACGCCGTTGCCTGGCTGCACCAGCTCCGCTGCCAGCAAGCCGACCAGCAGCGCTATGGAGGAGATCACCTCGAAGTACAAAATGGCGAGCAGAGCCACGCGCCCCACCTTGGCGGCGTCCGCCACGTGGGCGATGCCGCTGACCACCGTGCAGAAGATGATGGGGGCAATGACCATCTTCACCATCTTCACAAAGAGCTTGCCCATGGCCTCGATCCAGGGATCGCTGGCCACCTCCGGGGCCAGCCACCCAAGCAAGATCCCAACCACAATGGCCACCAAGACCTGGGCATAGAGGGGGAATCTGCAAGCACAGCGCAATGCGCGCACGGGCTGCGACACGGGAGCACTGTGCTTGATGGAGCTCTCCTCCTCCGTGATCTCCGTCATCTCCGTGTTGACTGCCGCCATGGCTGGAGCAGCTAGGACGCTACAGACGTGGGTGACTCGATATTCTACAATGCACATGCAGGTAATGTTTCGGTTTCGATGACTTCCCCAAACTCGGCAGCACTTTGAATTCAGAGGCACACCGGTCCTGGAAGAATTGTCCCTCCAACTTGGCGCGGCACAAGCTGTACACCAATGACTGCCCCATCATCTGGCTGGGCTTGCCGTCTGGGAAGACCCCATAGTCGTCGCAGTCCTGCGATCACAACATCCCACCCCACACACACACTCACACACAAACAAACAAACACAGACACACAGACACACGGAGACACACACCCACGCGGACACACGGACACACGGAGACACACGGAGATACACACACACACACACACACACACACACACACACTTCAATCGGCATTCGCCGTTTCTCCCGAGGTCCTCTTCCGCGCAGTGCCCAGGGTACACCGAATTGGCGATGCGCGCCATGTGCTTTGACTTCCCCACGTCATCCTTCCCACCCCCGCCCGCCCAGACCTCAGCTGCGCGCCTGCCAACAAAAGGTTCAACTGTTGGACGGTGTCCAAACATGGTTCTGAGGGGAAATTATGAGGAAATACAAGTGATCATGATATGCATAATTGGTTTTTGGGCGGTATGTTGCTTGAAACATCCTCAAACAGCTTCGCATGATCCTACTGTGCTGCGCCATGGTGATCAGTGCGTTGATCACGTGCTTGCCTCACCCTGGAACTTCTGGCTGCTTCCTTGTCCCCACTTGGATCAGTAGCCTCGAACCTCTCCAAGATCTGAGAAAGCTACGCGTTCCAACCAAAAAAACGATCCGATCGGGACCATCCACCGCCAAGGCACCAGCACATAATCCGCCAGGTGCCTCGCAATCTTGTGCGCCTCCGGGATGGGAGATGACAGGCACAGACCCAGCAAGGCGATGTGTTCATGGTTCCAAGTGTTGCCGTCCGCCAGTGTGGTGCGGTTTGCAATGCCTGCGATCTGGTACCCATAGTCCCACCAGGCCATGATGCGAGCGTCCTCCGGCGTGTTCTCCCTCAGCCAGACATACCTGAGCAGGTGAACCAAGCAGGGCAATATGTCACATGTTGATAAGGGAAAACTACCGATTTCAAACCAAGTCTGGAATCCAAGCAGAAACAAGGAAACAAACGCGCATGTTTATATGTTTGTCAAAGCTGCGCCTGCCGGTAGTCGTCAATCAGCGCACCATTCCTGGCCTTCGTGACTATCTGCGGGTGAGACAAGCTCCATCGCGCCTGACAAGTGGCTCTCAGGATGCAAAAAGGCAAGGCTCACACATGCACAAACCTCCTGGGATAGCGGTTCCCTTCATAGGCATCCGACGAGTTTCCTTTTATCATTGAACTCCTGCAATCCGAATCTTTGTATATATCTGTTGAGTGGGTCGACGGAAAGCATGCTTAAGCACATCAGCCACTTCTGTCATCGCTCCCTTGAAAGAAGCAAAGAGCCCTGGGCGAATGGATGCAGTGCCGCCTGTAGAAGTCAACATGGCTCTCTCGCACACGACCAAAACGATGGACTTGAGCACAGATTTTGGAATGGTTTGCTTCCAAGTTTAACCCTCAACGGTGCACTGAGGGTGCCCTCTTTGGGTGCCTCAAGCGAGACACAAGGAAACCGGCCATTTGGAGGGGACTTCCAATTTAAGACAAAACCACGCTTTGGTTGTCTTCCTCAGGACTTGGAAACGGAAACGAGACGTACATTCATTGATGTTGAGACAGGCCTTAGGTTTAGGGCCAGCACCTCAGAAGACGTCTCCTTAAAAATGGTAGGTTTCCCTCTTGCAATGGTTTTCTCAAGGAGAAAACCCTGTACCCCCCAAAAAGCACGCCCCTGAGGGTTGATCAATATGCCTGCCCCCAAATGGCCATGCCCCCTTCTCCCATGTCCTTTGAGAAGTCAAAAATCCTTTAGTGGGCTTCCCCTATGGTCTTTGTTCGTCCAGTCCCACAAAGCATGGTCATCCCATGTAACGGACCTTTTCATCAACCCCAAGTGGCTGTGTCTTTCCTGCGGGCACCCTTTTTCAGATGTTTTCAAAAGGAACCAAAGGACCACCGACTTTTGGAGGCTCCGATTCCCATCACATGAGCCCAAGTTCGACTTCTCGCCTTGTCGTGGCAAAAGTCTAGGAACTCCTCCACCCGCGGTCGCAGCGCCAAGGCCAGCGATCCCAGCGCCGTCACTTTGGCCAAACGCACTGGGCTGCTGAAAGGCGCCTGGCCGCATCAGCTTCGAACGTGACGCCAGGAAAGTTTGCAGACGCTATGACTCGTAGGGGTCCGCGTTTCTTGAGGAAACCCCCCTATACTTTTGGTGTTTCTGTTTTTTTTCCTAGGGAAACCAAAAGGATAACCACCAGTTACCCAAATATAGGAGGTCGATTCATCGCAACGAAATTGCAAATAGAGCCAGCCCGGTCAAACAGGACCAGACCAGTCAATTTTCAACTACACAGTAGAGCCGTTGACCGCCTGATCAATGGCCTGACGGACTGTGAAAAGTTACCAGTCATTGCCACCCTCCCTGTCCTGTCGTGTCACGTGCACAGTTGCACTCTGCCATGTGTCGCGTTTTGCATCAAGCCCACTTCTGCAGCGAGTTCCAACCCAAGGATGCAACACCAACTGCGTTTGACTGGAGGTCATCATTCCAATCTCAAAGTCAGAACCTGGTTGTTGGCAACCCTGGAGAAGGGAACACCCTGCCTAAAACTGACAAAAACTCATAACATGGAAACCTGGATCATACCGAGCCCCACTCCCCACATGCTACTAGCCTTTTCTGTTGGAGACCCATGTCTTGGGCCCAAAAAGATTGGACGCCCAGAAATGACCAGGGCGGCTTCGGAGTCTCCGACCTTCGATTGGTCCGGGTCGATGGCCGCCACGGCGCAGTCGAAGGCTCGGCCCAGGAAGCTGCCGGTGAGGGCCGACCCGGGCAGTGCCAGGAGGATGATGAGCCGCTTCCTGAGAAACCGAAAGGAGGGACTCCTACGAAAAAAAGGCAGTTGGCCAGGAAACCAAACGAACAAACCAGCAAATTAACAAAACCAACGAACGAAGGTACCAACAAACAAACAAACAAACAAACAAACAAACAAACAAAAAAAAAAAAAAAAAAAAAACAAACAAACAAACAACACACAAAAACAAACAAACAAACCAAACCAAACCAAACCAAAACCAAACCACGCCAAACACAAACAACCGAAAGACGTCATCAGACAACTTTCCTTGAAGCGACGGATCAAAGGATACATGACGTTTCTGCTGACAGAAAAGGCAACGAGTAATGTTGTTCAGAAACGATACCATACTGTCCCTTCCCGGCCATCCAACAAAGCCATCCCCATGCTGATGCCCTCCGCAGAGGGGACCATAGGACTTTGCGATGGGATTTTCTCTAAGACTCCAAGGTTAAAACATCTTGAGCAGCATGCCAAAACTAGAAACATATGTAGCTGATTTGTCTTGCCAGCTTCTTTTCAGTGCCCTCGATTCATTTGTTTGGTGCCATGATACATTTTGAAAATAAAGTCACTTTAGTCCTAAATCAAAGAGGTCACTTAAGCCATTTACAGGGCACTTAGACCCTGCCCAGCAGATCCCTCCCCAGTCCGGCCAAATCGAGCCGCAGCGACACGAGAATGCGAATGACACTCGCATGGAGCCGCAGCGACTTGACTGACACTGGCGGTAGTGGCCTTTTTAAGGGGTAAGTAACCTCGATTTGCACCCCCACTGACACTCAAATGACACGCTTTGACACCACAAAACGCCATGTTCGGGCCATTCTGGGTCGGCCCCAATCAAATGTGGCGGTTGTCACACTTCGACACGGGTAGCTGTTCGATTTCAACAGGATCCCAACCCCATCAAGCCAAAAAGGGCACTTAGCAAATGACTCAAAGGGTCACTTAGGGCACCGACACGGCCTTAAGTGCCCTTGATTCAAAAAACACCTCAAGTGCTCTTGGTTGAAGGGCAGTAGAATATGCCGGTGTGCTGGATTCACAAATAAGCATCGGTCTAGGAAAGGTTGCCCAATCAAAGAGCACAGAGAAAGTGCGCATTATTTGATCCATGAGATGGACCCCTCTGCACCTTCTGGGGGTCCATGAGCGAATGATCGACCTACCAACTTGAAGCAGCAGTCAAGAGATTGGCCTCGATTGATCAAACCTTGTGCGTGGCTCTCTTGTTATAAAATGTACATGGGCCCGCTTGCGTCATACGTCCGTCTTCCCGCGTGGTCAAGAAGCAGTGCCCTTGTGAAGCCTGCGCTTCTTGATTGGCAACGACACCGGCGAAGAGAAAGAAGGCCCATATCGAGTCCCAACATTGGTATGTGCCAAAACTGTTGGGGGGGTCCATTTTCGGCCACAATTCAATGGAAATAAAGCTGAAACCGGGCTTTTGGAGGGTTTCAACATAGGGGTTGATCAAAAGGTCATTTGCCTGACTAAATCACAACATGGGAATTCCAAAGTGGGCATTTTCCTGCACTACTCAAATCCAGCCCTACTAGGGGACCCTTTTGTACCTTCAATTCTCGGAGCTCCGAAAGTGCGTTTATTACTGCGAGTGTACTGCAAAGTTGCGACTTTCGCGCCGCGGCTGCGGGAGCGCGTTTGCTACGCGTGTACCACAAAGTTGCGACTTTCGAGCTGGGGCTCCTGGAGTGCGTTTCCTTTACCACGCGTGTACTACAAAGCGGGGCTCCGGGAGTCCGTTTCCTTTACTACGCGGGCTCCGAAAACGAACAGGGGACCCCCTATTAATAAAAGTGTGTTTCGCCGGGGGACCAGATTATTATTGGGGAGGCGGGGGGGGGGGGAACAGGATTATTGATCAACCCCCATATTTCTTTACGGCCTCCTTCAGCCCGTCCATCCGAGGCACATCTTTGAGGCGAAGAAGTAAGCCACCGCTGCCAGCAGCAGCAGGAAGATCCCAGCATCTCCTCGGCTTAAACCATTCGAATCCCATTTTGGCTTGCTTTTTGAGGGCACCTCTTCTTGGTCTAAATGGAAACCAAAGGCAAAATCACCATCAACCCAACTTAACCCCAACAACTGAAAGCCCTTCAAGCTCAGACCCCAGGAGGCTTTGTGCTGATGTTTGCGTGTGACTTGTTTGCGCCTCCAGCACATTCAATCGGAGATCATTCGATGCTAATAAAAGGCAGGGCGGCCACACGCCAGTGCACGGGCGGGAGTGTCTTAAGGAAAAACTGACTTCTGCTAGAAATCCTCGACAATCCTGACATGACACAAGTGATAGCGCTTTGGAGCCACATATCGGTGGTCCAAGCCTTCTTTCACATGGAGACTGGGGTCGGGGGTGCGGGCACAGCGCAGGTTTGTGCGCAAAACTGTTCGAAGCAGACAGAAGCAAACAAGGCGTGTAACTGTACAGAACCGAATGCCAAACTTGGATTTGGTGGCCGTCAAAATGCCAAGGCCACTTGCATTATTTTTGCCCGCCCAGCATCTGCGGGTGCCAGTGGCCGCCTGCTGCACCAGAACCAAAAGGCCCAGAGGTGCCACGTAGCACAGCTGGCCTAGGTAGTTCCAGTAGGCGTCTGGGCTCCTGCCGACGTGCGCAAAGCTGGGGGGGGGGGCATGACAGGTGCGTGGGGCGTAGTTGGAATGATTTGATTATTTGTTAGGAGAGCTGCAATGTGGTGCGGGGGCGGGGCACGGCTCCCTCTGTGTGCTTGCATCTGAGATACTTGCAATCAGCTGAGGAATGTAAACCACAAAAGTTGCAAGAAACTGAAGCACCGAAGCCACCAGCTTGACAACCGAGGCGTGCGCAAAGATGCATCGTAGCTCTGCATGATATTGTTTGCAAGGGCAGGGGTCATACAACCACCAAACAAAGACTCAAGAGGGCTTTTGCACAGTCCCCTAGCCCCTGCGCAATCCAAAGCACATATCCTGCACTTAGATTAACGGAGGGGGGGGAGACAGTCGCCTCAATGCTTGAATCTCTGCAACATACTTCAATACATGGATTCTGGAGTTCCAGGCCTCCCCACCGCCTCCGGCACATGTTCAACAACTGGAAGAAAGCAACCACGGTCACCACAGCGCAGTGACCACCCCTTGCCCCATCCCTGGCCCTTCGCTCCCAGGTTGGTGCTCCGCCACCGAGTCCACCAAGGGGTTCCCCGTCTTCGTGTGCTTCACGAAGAGGGCCCTCACCCGCACCGAGAAGGGGCTGAAGAGGCCTTCCGGAAACGAAAGCGCAAACTTGTTGTCAATTTGTACACTGCCTTGTCTTGGTCAACTTTGACCAGGGAGGGCGTTCAATGCTGCATGCCTCTGTTGGGGCGGAGGGTCGCATGAGGATGCAAAGGGGGGAGGGTCAACAAACAAACCATCCGCAAACCATCCGCCTAGCAACATATCCAGAGCAACTCCCTCCCTGCTGGGTCGAGACCGGCCATTCAACAGCTGACACATTACAGGCAGAGACGCGCCCCAAACAAGAGCAAACCTGCTGTGGCATCACTTCGTCCTTCCTTTACACAAACAAACTACAATGCCCCTGCCTTTCAATCTTGCAAACACATTCTCCCATTTTCACAGAGACTTTCAAAATGATGGGACCCTAGCTCTTCCCTTGAGGCTGCTTGACTCCACGCGCTTGTCTCTCGCGCTCCTCGAGGCACCTGACGGGTCCAGGAGGGCAACCACCAAGACTGCCAGCGCCCCCAGCGCCGCCAAGACCGCCGGGAGCTGCGGACCAAAGCGGGCGGCCAGGACTTTGTAGGCCTGGACCGGGAGAGTTTTCTTCCAGTTCTGTTCCAGGCGATGCACCAAAATCTGCGGACTCTCATATGTCCCTTTGAGGCGATGAAAAAAAAACCTGAGGACTCCCACGTGTCCCAAAGAACCCTCGGTCCCACGGATTCCCCCTGGGCAACACCCGCGTCGCCTGAAGCAACTGCAGCGCCAGGAACACCCCCAGCGGCCCCAGCTGCTCCGTGGATCGCAGGGGTGCCCAGCCCACCATGGGCACCTGCGCCGCGGGAATGCGGTGGTTGGAGGGGTCTCCAGTTTAAAAAAAAAAAAAAAAAAAAACATGGCCAAATTTGCGGTAGGCATAAAGGGAGATGAAGCGGCAGCTACGCAAACAAATTCACAACGAAATGACAATGATAGCAAAATGTCGGACAAGCACAGGTGCTGCCTCGAGGGTGAAAAGTCAAAGTGCAACCAGCTTCATCTGGCAATTCATGAGGACTCACATAGCCATCCCAGTTCGCATAGAAAACACAACTAGCCAACCCCCCTTGCTTGCCGTCACCCCCTTGCCACCTGCATGGCGCTGAACGTCCCCACCACGAAGAACAGCGAGTAGGCCTCAAACCAGCCGGTCAGAACGGAGGCTCCTCCAATTTCAAGTGGATCCAGTTGAGGCTGCGACATGCAATGCGTTTGCGATTGTTGCAAACGCATCCAGGACTTGTGGTCTGTCTCGTCATATCGTGGTTTGGTTCATCTCTTCAAGCAGCAGGACGAACAACTTGGTGCGGCCAAGGGTGAAAGGGAAATCCAAAGTATTCGCCCACAAAGCTCAGCTTCATGGTGAGACTTATGCTCAAATTGCAGCTGGGGCCCACTAACCGTCCCGAACTTGCGGAAAAAGGGGCAAACGTGGCAATCGGAAAACGCAGAAGCGTCCTTGGTCGATTTTGAGTCAAGTTCAAATACATCCGGGTGACCGCAAAAAACACCCAAACAAACCATGAAATGGTCCATGTCTCGACCAAAGCGGGAAAACACCCCTGATTCCTCTGGCAATGTGAACTTCAGAGCTTTGTTTCTTGTTCCAAATGGGCCAGTTTCGCAGATGTGCAAAGGAGATCAAATGAGGGTGTCCAAAGAAAAGTGCAAATCATATGATAATATTGAGATAATGTTATGGTGCCAAGGAACAACAACCGGGCAGCTCATGTTACACATGTTGCTTTTTAGTCATGCTCAGCTTGCAAAAAAGAAGCAATATCAGGAGGCCCACGTACATGTTTGCTGAGTTACAATGTTGTTTGACCTTCAGATCTCAATCGGAGAATATCGAAAATCATCATATGACGAGACCCAAGTGTCGGGAAGCCTGTCATGACCCCATGACAAACACAGCATAGTCAAACACAACTTTAACAAGCGGCAGGCCTGACAAATAATATGGTCGATCCAGAAAGGGGGATACACTGGGTGGCATTCATGAGAATGTCTGCGCGTGATTAATAAATCCCCTCTGACCGATGCTGGACTGCCAGACAATGCTTCTTTAGCGACATCCACAATTTTGGCTGAAAGACCCCTGTGAAGAATTGTTTGGCACCTCCCAGAACGGCCTCCATATTCAGGGCGTCCAATTGAGGCCCAAACTCAAGAGAATAATCAAACGTAGTTTTAAAAAATGCACAAAAGCTATATTCCATACTTTTGCCATACTAACTCCTTTCATAGTCTCCAGGGTTGCCATTCCAAAAAAAAACTAGCCAGAAATAACAAACGCCACTACAGCAAAAAAAGGTTTGACAAGCTCGTAACGGGTGCCGCCCCTTCAAGGCAAGCTCCTCATGCTCCGGACAAAAAAACACACAACCCCCCCTCTGATTCATCCTGGCCTCCAGCCCAAAATAACACGTGCAACTTCCTGGTACTTTCCTAAGCCTTCCAGTGCCTCGCACGGCCATCTGGGCCCCCAGGCAGCGTAGAGGTTGCCCCGGCTGCCCAGCAGCATGAGCACTGCCGCGTGCAGGCCCACCATGTTCCTGGCAGCTCAAAAAACCGAAGGTGAAACACTGAACAGTTGAAAGGGAACATGGTTTTTCAGCTGAACCGGTTGAACCGATGAAAATCCAGCTGAACCCTGAAAAACCCTGAACACAATAGAATCCGCATGTTCAAAGGGCCGAAAAGTTGAAATCTGGCAATGCTATCTCGCGACTCGGCCTCAACAAAACGCATGTGGCGCCTGCCTGTGATTCAACAGAACATGATGCGCGCCATTGCCGGAACCACAGGAATCTGGATAGCTTTGGCGATTATTTGTCTCAATTCTTCCTCTCCAACATGCTCAGCTCTGCCAGATATGTTCTTGCCACAAGGCAAGCAATCAGTGCCAAAAAAGCCACCAAAAGGACTGTTCAAGTTCCCAGCGGCAAGCAGGGGGTGAAACAAGCAACGGCTACCTGACAAGGTCACTTTGCCAGGCTAACTAATAATGACCCACAGCTGAGAATAAATGCGCAGTGAACGAGCGTGGGACAACATCGCTTGCTTGCTCCAGTCAAGTCGCAGCACAAAAATGTAGCCACCCCAGCACGCCGCCATGTAGCCATACGCGAGCCTCAAAGGCAAGGCCCGAGCGCCACAATATTTGAAGTGGCGACAGAATGCGTCTTCACAAACCCCGCATTTGCTAACGCCGCTCTTGTTTGTTCGCGTGGATTCAAGCAGAAATGAGGGCCAACATCACAGCGCAAACCAAGGCGCAAAGGTATGAGAGGAATTAATTCCTGGTCAAAGCGACTACTCGAATCACGACAACATCAAATGCGTTGCACTTGGAAGCCCAAAGCCAAGACACAACAACCTCACTCACTCCACCGACCTGCCAAAACTGTCCCAAGTAAAGCCAGTCATTGGAGTGCCTTTGTTTTCTTGCTGGTGCTCAGTTCGGAATGACCTTCCGGGTGTTGGGAATGAACCTTCCAGGGACTTCCCTTACAGGAAACCTTCTTTTCTCGGGTTCCAGCTCATTTTTTGGCTCTCGAACCAGCAAGGTGTCTTTTCTTCTTCTTTTTTTGGGAGGGGGGGCGCCTCTTTGGGCAACCGCATCCCCTCTTGGCCAAAGCCTCAAAGCCCCAACTGAGGCCGGGGGGCCCAGCGCCCGCCGCCACCGGCCAGGAGCGCCGGCTGCGAAGGCTCCGGCACCACAGCCAAAAGGCGCAGCAGAGGGGGGAGATGGCCACGGACTCGTTGTCGAAGCCTGGCAAAGGAACCCAAGTCTGCGAATGTGACCAGGCAACATGACTTCAATTTTGCACATGTGTACCTATGTGTGTATGTGTGTTTATATACATATATACATGAATGTATGTTATACATAATATATATATATATATATATCATATACCCCTGTTTCCCTTCCAGCAGAGTTAACAAAGTCGCATGCATTGTCCTGTGTGGTTTTTACTGAAATCATAAACTGGGAGGTGCACAATATGTTTCAACCTCCCCCGCCCTAACACCACCCACCCCAAAGCCCCAAGCCCCAAACCAACCCCCCCTCCCCACCTCCCCCCACGGACCGGGAGAGGTGCGCAGGCACCAAGGCCATGCAAAAGGCCCCCACCACCCCGGCGCTCAAAGAGCCCGAGCACTCCGCCGCTAGCAGGCCACCCAGCACTGAGGCCGCTGCCCCGAACCTCGAAGCTCCGATTCAACAGCAGATTCGATTTGCCGCTCCAAACGGGATATGGAACCAAAACGATAAACGGGGCGCAGCGCACGGGCTGAGGTGTGCTTTTCGACTGCGGACCTTTTGGGACTGGGGGTGGGCATCGTGTCCTGAGTCATGACCTCAAAGAGTCGCAAACAAGTGGAAGTCGGCATCAGCCTGGAATCCATTCAGCGTTGGTTGCGCTTGGTAAGGCTACCGCTTGCGAGGCACCAGGCTGGCATGTAGCAGCACACCTCGTTCAGCGTCCAGGTATGCTGCAGCAGCTGCCACAGAGCGACAGCCGTGATCTGCATTCCCGGGTAGATGGTCCTTATCTGCAAAAACTCCAACACTTATCATAGTCAGCTACCAGAGTGTTGTCACAAGTGCACTGGCAATTTGGGTAAGGACCTACTGAGACAATCTCAAAACGTCTGCAATTACTAAGAACGGCCTCGCTTGGCCCATGTTGAGTTCCTCCAATGCAGAGCAAATGGCAACATGCTTGAAGTGGTTCCAAGAAAGCATTACCCCTAAAGATCCCAAAAACCTATCTTAGCCTTCAATGCCATGTTTGCATTATTTTGCATTCATGGTCAGTGCCATGAATGCAAGCGGTTGTGGAACGAGCGAGCGACAGCCTGGATCAAATCCGACAAGCAGCGTTGCCACTGGCCGGCCCAAGGGATACCAGGACTGATGATCGAACCAGGTAAAGAACCTCAAGCCGCGCAGGCAAATCACTCTGGGAACTGGGAACCTGCATGGAAGCGTACAGCGTCTGGCAACTGTTCATAGCACAAATTGGCCAGAGCAAATCCGGACTTCATGCTGAACAGCCTGTTGATCACAAACGAATGCTGGCTTTCGGGCTCCCTGTCCACACATGCAGCTATGCCAAGACAAGGACGAGGAAAGCAATTGGGACGCGCCACGGCCACTTCCCACATGTCCCCCTGAATTGCCTCACCAAATGGACTTAAGATTGCCGAAAGGTGATGTGCCTCACCAGCCAAGAAAAAAGTCTCCTGTCAGTTCTTGCAAGAAAGCTTGGCACTCGGCCAAGAAGCTTGTTCCACCCCTGCGTTGCCAAGTACTCAGTGGCTCGATAGTTGAACCACGGATCAAACTCGTGGATCACCGGGCCATAGTCCTAGGTTGCCACTGAGCCCGTCAAGCAGCGCCAAATCAACATGTGAGTGAACCCTTTGGAGTGTTGGCTCCAAAATGAAGCCTACACTGCTTGACACTTTGAATCCGACCTGAGTCGCAATCAAAACCTGGTTCTCACATGGTCTACCCAGAACCCAAGAGCTCAAAAGGCGGCTGCGCCCATTTCAAGGGACGCTTCTCCCTTACCAACCCTCATCTACCCAAAACTCGCTTTCGGGCGAGTGACTTGCCTGCCGTTGAGCGGGCTCCGTTTCTCGGGTCGCAGGCGGGCCGGGGCGCTTTGATGGCCCAGAGCCGGATCTCGTAGGCCTGGCGAGCTGCCTCGAGCAGCAGCGCCAAGGCGCAGAGGCGGCCCAGGAGGCGGCAGTACCAGCGGCAGCGACCAAATGGCCGGGACTCAGCGAGGGGCAGCAGAGAGAGAGAGAAAAGAAGAAAAAGAAAAGAAAGAAAGAAAGAAAGAAAGTAACTAAAGGGAACAATGGAGACAGAGTGACTGGAGTTTTGGCACAATGGCCAAGGGCTCTGGACAAAGTACTTCGAGCTTCAGCAAGTCTAGCCATGGGTGTCATCAGATTCTCGGAGCCCGGCCGTCATGACTCCCGGAAGGCGCACATGGCACGGGGTTCGGGCCCCGGGTGCAAAGCACGTGGGCCCCAACCGATGCAAATTAAGGGCGTCGGGATGGGCAAGAGACAAGCATCGGGGCTTCTGAAGGGGTGCTGGCTGGCTGATCTTTGGGGCTTCAAGAAAACGCGTCTTGCATGCACGTTACAATGCCATGCACATAACGACATAGGCTCTAGTTCGCAAGTATTGCGTTCCTGGTATGTACCACTTGCAGCAGTTGTGCATGTCAAAACACATCAGCGTCTAGCAAGCTCCTTTCTGAATGAATCTGGTTTGAGTCAATAGGTCTGTGCCGGGCTGTAAGCCGTCTGAAAATGGGGGCACCTTCTTTCGGGCAATAGGCCCATCGGCTTATGGCCAAATCCGGCCACTGGAAATGGCAATGCTTGGAGAAAGCAGCGAGCTTCTGGGACCGAATCAAGACCTTCCATGGCAACATCCACGCGCACCCCCATCTCAAATCCCAAATCAACTGCCAAACTTCAGCTCCGTTTTGCAACAGGCACGGATTCGCATCTGGAGACTTGTGGCCGCGGATCCCCTCCCGGCCGCAAATTGCAACTGCGGCTTAAGCTCTATGTACACACGTGGCATCCCAGCATACGCTGCTGCGTCCATTCCAGAAACCTCAGTTTAGCCAGATGCTCTCTGTTTCTCTTTTCTTCGGATGGTATGAACCACGCAATTGTCTACAGGATGTTGGCTTCTTAGATCCTCTATGCTGGTCAACCATGTGGATGCCGGCCTCCTCAAGAAAGCACTTCCTTGCCTGGAGGGGTGACATGGGCTACCAGGCCCCACAGTTGCCGGTTTCGGGTGAGTGCCTCGAATCAGTCGCTTTAAACGAAAGTGCAAATGAGCAAATCAAGCATTGAAGTCGACCTCAATAGGATCGTCAGCACTGCCGCGTTTGCTAGACATGTCGCCTTCCTACTCCGAAGACGTTTGAGCAAAGCTGTCTGCTCTGTTGATCTGGACATCGGCTTTGATTATCCTGACCATAAGCATCATAAACCCATCTTCTGTTGTCTCTGCAAGTGATAAGATTGGGGTTGGTTCAAATGTCTACTAAAATGATTTCGAAATCACGATCCATATACATGTTGACTAGAACGATCCGCCATGGTCGCATTCGAATCCCCGAGGCCGCGTCTCATCCTCGCCCAGGAGGGAAGTGGAGCTGACACCCACGCCACAGCGCCTACAGTGAAGCAATCACCCAGTTGCAGAAACGAAGGAACCTCTAAGGAAGGGCATGCTGCTGTTGATTGCGATTGTTCAGAAGCCGCCCCCAAAAAAGGAAGACCACCCTCCGCCTTGGTGGTCCGCAGCTTGCGGAAAGGGATTGCGATGTGCCTAGTTCAGATGGTTTCGTCACTCCGCTGGGCTGCCAGGCCGGGCGACTTGCACTGCCAACCAGTGCTTGCAGCACAGCTCCCCGGCCTGCGGAGAAGCACCGTTGTAAAAAACATGTTGTTGGGGGCCAGCTGCCTAGCCACAGCTTGATGTTTGGTAGATACCCAAAAACAAGCTCGGCTGAAGAACGCGCGCCCTTTGCATCGATTTGCCGCATATCCTCCAGCGACCAAACATTACGATGAAGAAGTGACAAAGCATTCAAGCAAACATTCCTTCAGACTATATGGAACCCGAAACGGGTTCAACTGTGAAGGGACATGACCTGATTGGTTAAGAAATGCAGGTGCGTCTTCCGCCAACGGCAGCCCTCAGGCTCCTTTCCGCCTTCCACACGCATGTTTTCAATCCTTTCCCTCTCTCTCTCTCTCTGAATTTATACAAACAAGGCTCCTGGTATCCCTTGTTTGCCAGCACTACCCATTCCAGCCAGTTAAACATGATGGTCTGGGTTGAAGTGGTTAGCCCAACTTCGAAAGAATTCAAATGAATGGTCTGAGATAGAAATTCATGGCTAAGCGGTCTGAGGTGTCTCGTCTTCGACCCTGTTAAAATGGCTGGTTCAACTTCTGGCTAAGGCATGGTCTGAGAGTTTTAGCCAGCTATTTAAATCCGCGCGGCTCGTCTGCTCAGACAACACTTCAGCCGCCCAACCGAGACAATCCTAGCCTTGAAGCACACGATCCAGCAACGCGTGACGTGGGCCCGCATCTCGCTTCCTTTTGGACAGGCAACGACCGGGCATGGCCATGATCCTCTCCTGGAACACTAGCATAGGCGCTTCTATCGCCAGAGATTGGCGAAGCTTCCCAATCACCTTGCGTCATGCGCTGGGACAATCCAGCTTGGCGCTGTTCACAAACAACGACTGCCCGTCAGGAATCCGGCACCTTGTGGGCTAGCCGTGCGAATGATCGCGGAGGGCTCCGGAGCCAGCAGCCCGTGTAGGCAGACGCGCTGACGGGGCTGACGGGTGGCGCATGGCTCCCAGGCGCCGTGACCAAGAGCAAAGAGCCTGCGCTAGAAGATGCGTCATGATCAGGTCACGCGTCGTGGCGCGCCTCGTCCTCACGCCCTTGGCCCGTCGGCTCCAAGTACCCCTTGAAGTCCAGGTACGCACGCGACAGAATTCATGTAGCAAGTGACCCTTGCCACGAGGTTAGTGGGCACCGAAGGCAACAGAAGTCAAAAATGACAAAGAGATCCAGTTGCGGTGAACCAGGAATGATTTCCGCAAACCATTTTTCCAGACCCACAGGAGTAAGTGCATCTCAAATGGAGCGATATCGACATTCCGCAACCACCTAACTACCATGGCATCTGCAGCTTTCCCACCCCAATGTCGCCTCCACGACTCGGCGTCCAAAGTATGGGCCTCCAATTGGTCGAAGGCAAAGCCACAGCTGACAAATAATTCCCCACAGCATTTGTTGGGGGAACATTGACTTGCCAAGGTTGCGCCAAATATTTTGCCTAACATGGAGATACCAAATCGCAGAAGCAGAACAACTGTCATTTGGTTGACTTTCTTCTTCTGGACCATATTGGTTTGCTTTGAGGACGCTGAGACAAATAATGGAAACACTTGGCGGCTTTGACTTTGAGAGACTGCTTAGCCTCGCAATCTCTTAGCAACCTTCTTAAGCAAAGAATCACCAAACAGGCAAAAAATGAACCTACACACTTATCACTTTGGCCTTGCATAACAACTATCCCCCGTTGTCTTCTCTCCACGTGTTTAGATGTGTTTCTTTCATGGAAAGCTGTCTGAACTGAAATGTGTGTTTCCGGGAGAGTATGATTTGTGCACACATGCTGCACGACAATCACAAGCAAAACAGCAACTAGGAACCCGAACAAAGCAGGCTTGCATCATCGTCAAGAGCCAGTGCTGGTCAAAGAATTCCGCACTAAACCGGGGATAACAGGCGTAGTTCACAACGAGCTCAAGTGAAACGTCGCAAAGTGTCTTTTCAAAGGAAGGGATCAGATTGTAACTGAGTTGGCCTGCGGCGATTCGGGCGGACGAAGGATGAAATGGAAATCATGCACGTTCAATGATCCGCCTTCCCGCCCGCCCCGATTAGAGACATCCTCATTCTCATCCCTAGCGCGGCGACTCTTTTCACGAAATCCCAGAGCTGCACCTGGCGGCTCTTGCTGTCTCTGGCCGGGACGGCGGGGGATCCACTTCAAAGAGTCCCATTGGGAAGGGTATAGAAGCAGAATGGTCGTTGCAACAAGAGATCCCTGGGATGCTTGCTGCCCTTCGGCTGGGCTGTTGGCCAGAAGCTGATCAAGGCTGCGGAAGCAAGCATTGCTTTCATCCCCGCTTGAAGCAACCAGCTTGGGCACGCAGATGACTTGAGTAGATTCGACTCAAAGAACGTAATCCAGTGGAGACCCTCTGACTCTGTGAGACACTGCCTGCTGAATGCCTAAGACAGTTCATGACAGTTCACCGTGTTCGGTCCGATTGAAACAAAAGAGACTATTTCGTGTTAATACCCTGGAGAAAGAGCAATGTTGGTTTGATCACTGACGAAAGCCTGCACTAGACCAGCAAAATGCAAATCCTTCCGGAAGCAGGGGTGTTGGTATTGCATGCCGAGCGCTACCATCTAAGACACCCTTCAATCACCTGAAATTCAAGGCGCATAGCTGCCGTGGAGGAACAAACGGTGGGACCTATGGCAAACCGGCGCTGACGCTGAAACAAGGAGCTCTGACATCCCTGACATCTTCCCATCCGTTTCCCTGTGTCCTCTTCTTCCCCTTTCCTGTGTCCTCCTCCTTTCCTTTTCCCGGCCAAAGAATGATATCCAAAAACAAGTGCAGGCCTGTTCGCCCTGCAAAATCCGTACAATTCGCTAAAAACGGAAGGAGGGCAGAGAAGATGAGGAGTCAGCGGGGAAGGAGGGGAAGGAGAGAATGAGTTCGTTTGGCGGCCGCCTGCTTGTGCTTGCTAAATAGACCCATCCAACGCAGACCCCCAGGCGCCTCGTGGGCGTTGTGCCCCCAGGCCTTGTCCCGCCGGGTTTGGCGGCTGCGGCTCCGGGCCTGCCAAGCGCCCGGCTGGGACCCCCTCCTTAGGCCCTGAAGTCGTCGCCGGACTCAACTGCAACCAGTTCGTCATGCACTAATATGTGGTAGAGTAGCAGGTGGCGTAACCCAGGAAAGTCTCCTGGAAGACAGCGTTTCTTGCAGGATCCTGTGGTTCCCCATGTTGTGTGAGAGGATGTGGCCGCTGCAATTGAGCATCAACTGCTCTCCAGATTTTTTTTTTGGGGGAGAGGTTCCCCCTTCTGTTGCAACAGGGGGCAACTCCACCCGAGGTGTGCCAATTCCCGCTGCCTTTTGCTCCACCGGCGCGGTCCTCACCTCCTCCAGCCGCAGCCAGGGCGAGGACTCGGCAAAGGCGCTGAGAGGTGACTCCTGCGTTGAGAACATGGGTTTGGTCTCTGCGAAAGGATTGAAACACAGCACGACTTCTGGCCTGCGTTGGCAAAACCGACCAACCGGCCCACCAACCAAACTTTCTGCGGAAGGCAAAAGAGAACCATCACATTTGGGCTTCAGCAACACCACAAGATAGCAAGCCATGGAAACCAGGCTAGCGCAAACACTCCCAAAAAACTCCTGATCATAGTATTGACTTTGGAGACCTTTGTTTGATTGCAAGGCTGCAGGGGAGAGGAAACAACGCACGTGTCAAGTCAGAGGCTGGAGCGCCGCGCTTTGATGTTGATGACTCGCATTTCCTCAAGAGTGTTGGCAGTTTACTTTTCTAAAGAGACATGGCGACGCGCAGCCTCAAATCACCCAGTTCAAAGCCATCTTTGCAATGGTCAACCAACGCCTGCTCATAGTATCCAATCAATCAAGAAACAAGCAATCAACCGATCGACTGATCCGCGCATCGATCAACGAAGCAGCCAGCCAGCCAACCAGCAACCAAGCAAGCAACCAGCCAACCAACCGAACAAGCCGAAGCAAACCAAAGCAGACAGGACCAAAACAAACCAAGCCAACCAAACCAAACCAAACTGACCAACTGATAGACCAACCGATCAACTGGTTCACTCATTCACTGATCCAACCGCCCAACCGGTACTCCCTGTCCTCCACCAGCCCCCGGCAGAGAGCGTAGTTCGAGAAGAGGATCACCAGGTGGCCGTTTGGCGCCAGGACTTTTGGCGCATCCTCAAAGAGACGTGGGAAGAGCTCCGCCGGGTAGTCGTTGCCGCCCACCACGTCCCCCGCAGCGGCCGGCTTTGGGTGCGCTGAAAGTCGGGGGACCCAGGGGGGGTTGAAGACGATGAGGTCAAAGGGGCCCTCAAACGGGGAGGAGGGGCTTGTGGAGGTGGAGAAGGGGTTCGCAAGGGGAGTTTGCACAGCAGCTGCGTTGTGGTCAATTCTGCACGATGGAAATCACATCAATCCCCTATGTCAACAGAAACTGCATCTGGAAACAAACCACGGAGCAGAAGAACAGAATTGGGCACCGTCTCCTTCCCTCCCTCCCTCCATCCCTCCCTTCCTCCCTGCCTTCCTTCCTTCCTTCCTCCCTCCCTTCCTTCCTTCCTTCCTTCCCTCCTTCCTTCCCTCCTTCCTTCCCTCCTTCCTTCCTCCCTCCCTCCCTTCCTTCCTTCCTTCCCTCCTTCCCTCTTTCCCTCTTTCCCCCTCTTTCCTTCCTTCCCGCTTTTCCTCTTTGCCTCCCTTGCCGTCAACCCCCGGCCTCCAGGTCATCGAAAAGATCGCTGCGGCGCACCTCGATGCCCTGCGCCTTCCTGCGGAGCAGCTCCGCTGTCACCGAGAAGCAGGCGTTGGGGCACAGGTCGGAGGCCACGATCTCGCAGTCCGGCAGCAGCTCGCGCAGCAGGAAACTGACGACCTCGGATGGATGGAAAGAGACACTGAACCAAAAGCAAGCACGCTGGTTCAAGCGGAAGTTCCAAGCGGCTAGCTTCAACAAGAGTGACGTAGAGTTCTGTGAGACCCCCGCGATAGCCCTGACGCTAGATGCTTGGGGCAACACACCGAAAAACAAGAGGGTGTGTCACACTACTGGCAATGGATACTATGTGAGACTAGCAAGCCTGCCAACGGTCTGCTGCAGATCTCCGTGAGTTACTGTTGGTATCCTTGGCAAGTTACTGTTGGATTCCTTGTCTGCCACTCAGTGATAAGCACCAGAAAACCAGAGGCCGCTCGCAATCCACCGCATGTTGCATTTGGCTGAGCAAACTGGAGAGAAACGACGAGATTCCATATGCCGGTCTCCTCAAACCGATCTGTGATCTCTCCTCCCTGTCGCGCAAAGAATGCAAAGCTTTGGCGAAGGCGCCCCACAGCCGGTGCCCAGATCCAGCGCCCGGCGCGCCAAGGCTTTGCCCTTTGCTTCCAGCCAGCGATGCAGGAGCTGGAAGTGCTCCTCAAGACGTCAATGTGTGTTTTAAGTCACCTAAATGAGTCATCAAAACCTGGTACTAAAAACCCAGAACCGTGTAAAGAATCGAAAAGGCGGCTGCACCCGTTTATGGTTGGGATTTCCCTTACCTTCATCTACCCGTGCTTTGATTGTGGCTCAAATGGGTTGCTTTCGGAAGCTACGCACGTCCTTGACAGGCTGGGACTCGTTTGGATTCATTAGGATCTGTTTCGGGTCCATGAGCTTTGGCCATGGGAAAATGGGACGGGACGACCACGGAAGCCTTGCTCGATCCTCCACGGCAGAAGCCAAGTTAGTAACCCTCAAGGGGGTATTGATGGAGAAATCCTGCATCACCGCATATAATATATATATATATATATATCCTATACTATAGGATATATTACATAGCGGTAAGCAGGAAAATCAAGCTAGTGCTACATCTTCGGATTGCACTACGGTGCCAACTTTATTCATACCTGCTGTGCGACAAGCTCCGGGTGATACACATCAGTTTTGCACACCACCTGTCCCACTCTTGTCCCTTTGCAGGCCATGCAAGCCATGCAGGCCCCACTTTTGGTCGAGATGTTGGTCGAGCGTCAATGGGGCTGGGGGTGAAGTAGACCCCGAAGAAGGGGTGCAGCCTGCCCTTGAGGAAGGGGTAGCTGAGGCCGTTGAGGAAGTACTGCCAGGCCACGTGCAGCGCCGTGGCGTCGTTGGCCCGGAGGGTCAGCGTAGAGCTCTCATAGAGCACCGGCACGTAGCCCAAGACCTGCGGCATGTCGACGCCCACGGCACTTGCACAGGGAACAAGCTAACGCTAGCCTGTAAGCCTTACTATGCCTTGAGGCAGGAAATCACATCATGACTAATTTCGATTAACTACCCCTAACATGGATGACGCAAATGATCAGGCTGTCTCTTGAAACAGGAAGAACTCCATAGAACTCCACTTTTGCTGACGAGTAATCCCATTCCAATACCCCCGCAACAACAAAAACAACAGGCATTCCATTTGTATCCGCCCAAAAAAAAGTAAAAGAAAAATGGAGCCAGATGGGGCCCGGGCATTGCCGAGCCACCGGGCCGCCCTTCAGCAGCAGCCGCCCTTCCCCGCTGCTCCGCAGGAACATCCGCCGGGTGCAGTCCCGCAGCACCTTCCGCCGCTCCCGCAGGGCGGCGGAGCTCTCCCCCACAAGGCGGCGCTTAGCCAGCGCGTTCAGGGCCTTCCCAACACGCGAACGCGCGCACGTCGCGCAGGTCGCGCCGTGGGGTCGCCATGGTTGGGTTTTATTTTTTGCTGGGGGTTAAAAGGATGTGGTACCATGGCTATCTAGCTTGGCAATGCAGGTGAGTCGGTTTGGTACTAATTCTCCCGTTCGCACCTGCATTTGCGACATGGGGCTTGGGGCCATTGCATGTGCTCAGGCGCAATTCTTGCAGCCAGTGAAGGCTTTCGATCGCTGAGCACTCCGGCACGGAACCCACCACCATGTCCCTAGGAAAACGGTTCGGCCCCCGGCTCTATGTGGCCATGGGTCAAAATCCTGTACCCCCAGTGAACATCCCAATCCCCACTAAAATAGACTGAAATGGGGGGTGCGCAGGGATCTGTACTCGTGTTCAGGGTTGGCTCCGCACTTCATCTGGCTAAAATGCGCGGGGACCCCATTATGTTGGTTGATAAAATGCAGTCCAGGGTTTGGCTAGAATGCGCCGGCACCCGAATACAATGCGGACACCCACACCCCAGGAAAAACAAAAAGGCCAGGCTGAGCACCGCATTTTATCCAGATGTGTGTTTTGTCAAATTTTGTTAGCAGACTCATATATGCCTCGAAAGGCTAGGGGCAATTTTCGGTAACGGGTGCTTTGTCTTGCTGCTTTGACCTTGTGTGGCCGGGCCCCTCGCCCCCGCCCCCGGCTAAAATGCACTGATAAAGTGGTAGTCCAACCACACCCCCCCAAATAAAAAGCCCATGTTGGCACCGCACACCATCCAGCTGATAAAATGCGACGTGCTAAGGTGGCTTAAAAAACTTGGCCTGGATCAAACCGACGTGTTTTCTGAGGTCAAGCCCCTGCATCTCAGCCAGCCGGTACAGACCCCTATGGGGTGCACCCCACAGCCATGTGGATGTATCTTTCCCCGCGCCTTCCGGGTCTCCACGACGTCGGCCCAGCTGCGCGTGAACAGCACGCTGCGGCCGCCCCAGACCTCCTCGGCCACCTGCTGAGGCTCCTCGCGGCTCACCTCGGCGCTCGACAGCTCCTCCTCGCCCACGGCCTCAGCAAACGAGCCCGAAGGCGGCCTTTGGGGAGTTGAACCCCCCTGGCTCTTGCAGAGGGTACATGGGAAACCACGCCAAAAAACCACAAAAAAAAACAATTTCCTAAACCACTGATTAGAGGGAAGCTACGTGTGCCTTCGGACCAAAAGGAAGAAAAACACGTTTCGAGGTTTCTTTCCTGAGCTACATCCCAAAGCGCTTTGACAGCACCTGCTGTTGTGCGCGACTGCGAGTTTCAGAGGACCCCCAGAAAAGTCCAAGCAACATGGCACAAGATGAAACAAATGGGGGGTAAATGACTCCGGGTAACTTTGCCCATTCCGTGGAACATCTCATCTTTTGAGTGGTTTTTCAAGCAATGGTCCTGCCGTGTTCACCTGAGCATTTGATCAACCCCCACATCGACTCTCTCGTCTGCTTTCTCTCGGCTTCGCATCTGAGCCCAGCGCTTCGGGTTTCCAAACACCTTCGTCCAGCGGCGGCAGCAGCACCTTCGGCTTCCGCTGCGCCCGGGCTTGCGCGAGCCCTCGGGCCTCTCGGCCGCGGGCGCGGGAGCCTCCGCATCTCGCACGCTTCCCAAGCCAGGTCCATGTCAACCGCTTCAAGACTTTGATACACCTCTTGCCAGTGGCTCGGTGAAATTTCACCAAAAAAGACTTGCCAGCAAAACACTCCCCACTTGCCAGCCAACCTGCTCCTGTTTGTTGGTGAAATGCGCGCACAAACGCCCGGTCGCCTGCCACCACGCCCGCAAGCAAACCTTTCCAGCCGCAAGCGCCACTTTTAGGCAGCTTGGAGCATTGCGCCTCAGCTCCCATGAGCTGAACGTACAGCTTGATATGCGTTTCTACACTGACACGAATGTCTGTGCAGTGCAATGCGGCCTGTGTGGACCTTACAAATCAGGAAACTTTGACCGCACCTCATATGGCCGTCTCAAAACGAGGCTTCCCTTGCTTCAACGACCTTCTTTTGGTTTTCCTTTCTTGGCCCGTCTACGGAAAACAGAAAAACATATTTTCATGCTGAGTCCATAAAATCTAGGAAGTGGACCGGAATCTGGGCTGTCAGGCCAGCCGATGCACCGGCCCTGGCTTTATGTGAACTGCCCGCGCAAAACCCGCAGAGCCAGGCAGAGCCAGCGCCATCTAGGGCCATGGGGCGCGGCCAGTAGATACGATACCGCTGAGACTCTGGTGCCAAGGGTTGCATTCACGAATCTCGTTGCGCCTCAACCAGTAACCATGTTGTCACTTACATCTCAGCGAGTGCCTCTTGCTGAGTCCGACCTGCCAACCGATGATGGGTGCTGAGACAGGGTCTGCCATGGCCGTGACAGGAAATGCCGGTCTGTCTGTCAACAAATATTACCTTCATCGTGTGACATCACGTCGGCTTCAAGCCGAATAACATGATCCTCATCCTGGCAACATCAAAGTCTGTATCCATCTTACAGATTGAGGAGACTCTCCCAGCTGCGATTCGCCTGGCTCAAGTCTGCTCGTGGCTTCAGCCAGCGTGTTGCGGATGCTCGTTTTGCTCACACATGCCCTCTGAGCCTCTGAGCAACTTCTTGCGTTGGCCTT